GACTACAGATCCCGAAGGGCGGGGCTTTAGTCTTAACTTATCGTTGTATTCCTACATTGCTCGGGACATAATAGATGCTCAGTAAATGTGGGGGAAGTGAATGCATGCTGTGAATGATACATACCGCTGATTCCAGAGAGTAAGAAATCATTGTCTGTCTTCCCTTGGATAATGATGTCCTCCACTGTCTTTGATTTGACTTCCCTTTCTTCCTGCTGCACAGGTGGCTATGCCCCACCAGTGGCTCGAGGGTAACTTGCCCGTGAGCGCCAAATGTGCCGTCTGTGACAAAACATGCGGCAGTGTTCTCCGTCTGCAAGATTGGAAATGCCTTTGGTGTAAAACGATGGTGAGAGTTTTAGAATTGTTTTCCATTTAGCTAGTTTCTTTTTGTAACTTTGGGACAGAGCTGAGAATCTGTGGCTGAGCAGAGCCTGGTAGCACACACCCCCACTGTAAGGTTCATCTCTTTTCAAGATGTGTTCCTCCCACTCTGTTTACTTTTGCCAGTGCCCTTTTGGCTCTCTCTCTATATTTCCTTTGTCTAAAACCCTCTTTCCCACAGTTTTATTATTTTTAATCATCTTTAGCCACCCTCAATGGTTTGCTGTTGTCAGCCTGTTGTATCACCTGTTGCACACAGAAAGCCACCAAAATTTGATTGACATGCAAAGTGTAATTTGGCTACCATGCTGTGTGTGCGCTCTGACAAAAAATACTGAGTTCAGTAGACCATCCACTGATATGATTTAAATTATAGGCATTTATGTTATATAAATAAGTAAATGTTTAAAACTTCTTTGCATGTGCAAGAAAGCGGTGAGACACACACAGAGCAAAACATGGAGCCAACATGGGGCAAGGAATGGTCCCATCTACGCCAGACTGGGTGAGGACTGGGCTTCCACGCTGCAGGTGGGCAGTCAGAGCAGGAACTCAGGGTGACCTCGTGCCCCTCCGAGGGTGCTGGGGGGCTCAAGACCGCAGGACGAGGAGGCAGTCGCTGTTTGAGTGCTCGCCTCAGCACTAGGTGATGCTGTCCGACTAGGTGGGTGACTACCTTGCTTTGGGGCTGAGTTGTTTGGTCTTGTTTTGCATCTTGGAAGTCAGTCCCTTTCCCCCCAACAAAAAGGTGGAAAACCTTTGCTTTTAATAAGTACGATGAAGATCAGCAAATGTGAGAGCTACATGTTCGATGTGTTGATTTCATAATCAATGAGATTGATCGCATACGTCACGGAGGAAAACTGCTACAATTTTTTAGTCAGGCTTGATAGGGAATCCTGTGTTTCTTTTTCATTTTTGAATCAAAAATGATTCTCTTCGTCCTCATGCTTCTGTTAATCATCATCAGTTTATTTCCGTGGAGGTTACTTTTTCTTTTATCCCATTTAATATAAAGACTGTATTAGATGTCGCTCTTTGGATTTTTGGTGCAGTCCTAACCCTGAAAACCCTTATGCCACTCCTTATTTTAAAGGAGTGCTCCTGCAAACAAGATTGAAAATTTAGATTCCATCTCACCTAAGATTTACTTTTTGCAGGGACAAACACTGATGTATGTATCTACCACCAATTTGATTAGTCTGCATATACTGAAGTCTGTTTTTCTACTTCTGGAAGCTCAGCTCTTCTCTTTTTTAAATTTTTAAATTTTTTATTGAAGTGTAGTTGATTTACAATGTTAGTTTCAGGTGTACAGCAAAGCGATTCAGTTATACATATACATACATATGTATTTTCAGTTTCTTTTCTATTATATGTTATTGTAAGAAATTGAATATAGTTCCCTGTGCTATACAATAGGTCCTTGTTGTTTATCTACCTTATATATAGTAATGCGTATCTGTTAATCCCACACTCTCAATTTATCCCTCCCCACCCTTTAGTAATCATAGTTTACTTTCTATGTCCGTGAGTCTGTTTGTAAATAGAATTGATATCTTTTTTTGAAGATTCCACCAGTTAGAAATACCATATGATAGTTTTCTTTCTCTGTCTGACTTATTTCACTTAATATGATAATCTCTGTGTCCATCCATGTTGCTGCAAATGGCGTTATTTCATTCTTGTTTATGGCTGAGTAGTATTCCATTGTATAAATATACCACAACTTCTTTATCCAGTTACCTGTTGATGGACATTTAGGTTGTTTCCATGTCTTGGCTATTGTAAGTAGTGCTGCTATGAACATTGCGGTGCAGGTGTCTTTTCGAATTAGAGTTCCCTCCAGATATATGCCCAGGAGTGGGATTTAGAAAGGTACTATTTAAGTTGTCTTTACATGCAGTATATAGGTCTCTACTTGTGGTTAGTGAGTAGTTTTAAATTTTACTAATTTTAACAGTATAAGTTCACTAAGTTTTTTACTTGCTCATGCTACTCACTCCCACCTTTTAAAAATATCACAAATAGGGGAGAAGTGTTATTACAGGTTATGGAAGGAGAGGTATTCTGGAATGTCTTTGCCCTTCTTTTTTTTCCTGGCTGACTTAAATATCACCTTGGTATGAAATCATTTCTGCCGCCCTGTGTCAGTCAGACGTGCAGGTTTCTGGACCACTATCACCTCTGTCACATTCTTCTTAACCTTGTACGTCTTACACTTTCATTTGTCTGTTAACATAGTATTTTGCCTTTAAAATACGAATTTCTAACAGCAGAAAATCTAGTGTCTAAACATAGTCATCTATGTTCAGAATGAACCAAAACCATAATTCCATAATCCTAAGAGTCAACTCCTGATTTTTCCAGCTGTTGTCCAGCCTCTGGACATAATTTTATCTTTTCTGTAAAAATAGTGAAGATACAATTTTATCTCTGCTTTTCTCATTTAGCATTGTTACAAATATTTTTCTGTTTTGATCTTTTTTAATTCTTTTTAAAACTATCTGTGCATGCTTCTTTTTTGAAAATCCATTTGGATTGTTAATCATTATAAGTCATCATAGGAAACTGCTCAAAATTAGGTCATTGGCAGAACAAGAATCACTATTAAATTTCAGTTACTTTCTCAGAAGTTTTGATAAATACGTGTTTAATTTATACACTAGTTTTCTAAAAGGACTAATGAAATAAAGCTATGTGAAATAAGTGCTTCATGAAATTTCTTCTTTTACTAATAAAACATTTAAAGGCTCTCTAGGTGAGAACATAAATCATTCTAAATTGCTTGGGTCCTACTTAATGTGTTAGCCTTGCTTGAGTGACGTTGAAACTTTTTTCCCTACAGAGTTAACACATTTGCTGAGTGCCTGTGATGTGTATCACTTAAGATGAGTGGGCAATGGTAGGACCCGATCCTTTTCCTTATAGAGCCAGAAGTCTAGCTGAGAAAATAGGCGTGGATGTACTTAAAAACTACAAAAACATGACAATGTTATAAAAGAGGTGTGGATAGAAAGTTATAAGATCACTGCAGAAAACAGCAGACACAGTAGAAATTGTGTTTACTTTCACTGAATTCTGTAAGAATTTTATAAGGTCAATGTCATCAGTTTTTCCTGTGGACAGTGATGACACATGCTGGTTCACTCCCCACCTCCCTCCCTTTCTCCCCTCCTCCCTTACCTCCCTTCCTCTGCTCGCCTTTCCCCTCTCTTCCTCTCTCCTTGCCTCCACCAGGCATTCAGTGACTCCGTACTGCTTGCCTGAGACAATCATGGAAACAGGCTGCACGGGCCAAATCAAATTCCCATCTCTAACATGATTAGCTCATTCCTTCAAGGGATATTAAATATTGTGCCATTAAAGTAATATATGAGTTACTGAACATTTTGTGATGCACTTGATCCTCATTTATCAGTTCCTTCGATATCATTTATGCTGTAACAAAACAGTGATGTGTTTTTATGATTCTTGAAGGTTTCCTTCTTTGTTTTTAGGTACACACTGCCTGCAAAGATTTATACCATCCTGTTTGTCCACTTGGCCAATGTAAAGTGTCTGTCATACCTCCAATTGCACTAAACAGCACAGACTCTGATGGTATGTAGCAGTGGTGTAAGTATGTATAATTTGAGTGTATGAATGTTGATAAGTACATCTCTTTACCTAGAATAAATAGAACTTGATGTCTAGAAATTGGTTATTCTGGTCAGTTTTTACATAATAATTCTATTTCAGTTTATTTAATTTATAAAAGAACATTTTAAAATTGAGGTTTAACATAGCTATAACACAGTGGTGAAATTACATTGTATAAGATTTATAGATTTTACATTGAAGCAAATAAAGATCATTATTCTATAACAAAATGCAATCTGAAAAGGTTAATTTTTATAAGTGATTTTTTTTGTCCTCCAGCGTCGAAACTGCCCATTAGTGTAGCTCATATTTCAGCTTGTTTTCCTACAATTTCAGCGCAGGAATTTGTATTCCTATAAATTCTCCCACTTTTTCCAGTATCTTACAGCTTAGTTGTAAGTACAGGAGAATACTTTTACAGCACTGGTTTGGGTTAGCATACTAATAACTTCCTTGTAAGCAAGCCAGATTACAAAATACTTTGGTCATAAACCATCATTAATACTTTTCATCGATAAAGTGCCTTATGCTCTCCAAACTTTTTATATAAATTATGCCAATAGAGATTGTAAATATGAGGATATAAGCCACAGAAGATATGATTAACTTTAACTTGTGCTGTTAACAGCCCCCCCCCATAATCCTGATATATCAAGATTCTGTTATTTACTGTCAGGTTAAAAAATTTAAAAATATTTTCTAAGGCCTTCTCAAGGAGCAGTTAAAATATTTTGTAATACTGAATATGAACATGAATTCTTTAACAAATGTGAATTTATAGACT